CCAGAAAACTATAAGAACATTCACCAAGCAGCACTGAAAATGTCTGCTTTATTTGGTTCTGTTCTACATACCTTTGTGAAGCAGCTTTTTCTGACATGAATGAAATCTAAATACAGAACAAGACCGACTGATGAACATTTAAATTACTATTAAGTGAACCTAAGTGGGTCCAGCATACACCTCTATGGTGGACTGCATGCAGTGCCATTCATCTCACTAACAAAAGAGTGAAATGCTTGTAAGGTGGTGATTAAGGACACTTATGTGAATGTTCAGTGATGTACTTATTATGTGGGCCATAATAATATGTGAGAAATCTTCGTTTTCTTGGACCTTATTTTTGATAAGCTTTAGGTATTGCAATTTCACACGTGTACAAAAGTATAGCTTAATTCAACTGATGAGGGCTATGTGAATAAATGTAAGCGATGTGATGCAAGTAGCTCTTGGCCACTTTCATTTTTTGAAAGTAGCTCTCAGATGAAGAAAGGTTGGAGACCCCTGCATTAAGGCTTTATGATATCCTTCACAGTAGACAATTGAACATATAAAATGGCTGATCACCACTTTCATTGCATTTTGGATGATTTAGTCAACTTTGTAACCAGTGGCGTTTTTATATGTACAAAAGTGGTGGGGCACAAAAAACTTAGATGTCTATATATAAGCTTCTGCAGTGACGTGCAGTGAGGTTCATGGCTGCTGAGACACTGGCACTGACTCTTCAGGTTTACAAATATTATATTTTGACCTAAACCAAAATATAATATTATTTTCAAAAGCTTTTTTTGTCTGATGCTTCCATTAATTTTAAACAGACAGTTCAACAAAAGGATACCCAAAAAATGTCATTTTATCATTTAAATATTGAATTGTTCTCTCTTAGTAAGATCCCATTTTCAATAAAATGGCGGTCTTACCTTGACTTGAAGATGAAGTCCATTTGCCTATCCTTCTGGACAAACATTTCTATTACTTTTTTGTAAAAGTCCTCCTTATCTTCTTGTAGTTTCAAAAGTCTATCATAAATCTATAAATGATAAAAAAATTATATAAGTAGGGTAGACATGTGGATATTATCCGGCTAATCAAAACGTGCATTTATCTAACAGGTACGTTTCCCACAGATCTTATTTCGAGCTATTTTCTAAAATCCTCTGGAGAAATCTCATTGCTTTTTTGTGCTTACTTCCTGGTTTTAGGACGCGCCACTGCAGCTCTCTCGTCTCCTCTTCACACAGCACACTTTTCGCGGCACACGTACTTACAGCCAATCAGCTCTGAATAATTTGAGATGACGTATGGTGGGGATGGTAGCTCCATGCCCCTCTGGTCATTATTTTTTTGCCACACACATTTCATTACAAAATACTCTGAGCATGCGCAGTGAAGTTTTTACAGTCACCGTTGACTTCACAGCGAGAGGGAGGGGCATAATCAGGTTTTGTCCCACATGGCTCTAAACAGCTCAATAGGCACACACTGTGACTGTAGACACACTAATTAGAAGAACACAGACTAAAACAGCAATGTACAGACGAATCAGATGATTAAACATGATCTTAAAATATATTTTATATATTTTTTTATTTATTTTTTTGCATTTTTGTAATCATTATTTGTAATACTTTCTGCTGACACTAGGTGGGGCTGTGCCCCACCTGCCCCTAATGACCAGTCGCCACTGTTTGTAACACATATAGTGTTCCCGGTCAAAAATGACCGCCATAAAGAAAAGGAATTAGTAACCATCCGGATCAGATAAAACACACACACACACACACACACACACACACACACACACACACACACACACACACACACACACACACACACACACACACACACACATACTCTAGATGTGTTCCCCCCCTTATGTGCCCAATCCCCCCCCATGTGAATCACACCTGGCACACACACACACACACACACACACACACACACACACACACACACACACACACACACACACACACACACACACACACATACTCACATACTCTAGATGTGTTCCCCCCCCTTATGTGCCCATCCCCCCATGTGAATCACACCTGGCACACACAAACACACACACAGAACAATTTGACACATGTCCCGCTCTTATGTGCCCATCCCCCCACATGGATCACACCTGGCACACGCAATACATGTTCAGTGTCTATTCTTTGTATATGTACTGCAGTGTTTCATGTATACCAGTAGTCTGATACAATATGTAAAGTTTGAAAGGGTGTTGAATGAAATTTGGTGATGATTAATGGTTTTTGTGTTCATGTAATAGCAGTTAAAACAGGACCGGTCCAATTTGACCGTGAACACCAAAGTAAGGGGGGGGAAACGAAGACAATAGGGGGGTTAAATAAAACGTGGATACGAAATTAACAAATCAAATAGAATTAATAACAAAGGCTGTAACATTTCTTCAAATTAAAAATCAAATAAGCAGGCACTCTCCATTGCTCCGTTAGGACACATAAGGAACATTTTAGAAATAACCAATATACAAAACAGATACACTTTTATTGGCTTGTTTTAGTCACAAGTTATGTTCATTATGATGCAAATAAAGGTTTTAATGATGTTAACCCTATTCATTTCACATCTGGCACCGAACCATGACTTGAAATGCAACCGAAAATGATCCCCTTAATGGCACACAGGAACAATAACAATTACACGCTACAAATATCTTTTTTTTTTACAAAGCACGTCTTTATTGGGCTCTTATGGTAATTTCCGCATCGAGCCGTCACTGACAAACAACACGGGGAGTGTATTCGGGGCGAAAAAGTAGCTCATCACTCATCTCGGGATGCATTTCCACAACAAAGATTTGTGCTCCCAGAGGAAAGAGACACAAAGTCTAATGACGGCTGGCAGCACAAACTAAAGGTGCATTTGCTCTCTCCCCTTATTATTCCTCGTTGTTGAATAATTAAGACCTATTGTTATTTCTCGGGCCACCCACTGTAATGATGGCAATAATTCATATTATGCTGATTAGCGCGGTGACATGGGGGGGGCGTAATGCATTCCACAAGGCATCGTTTTTTCCAGCGTTATGCTAGGACGCTTCACACAATGATATGAAATGTGTGAATTAGCTTCTATAGGCCACGACAGCATGATTGTGATGCTTTAATTATTCTCTGTATAGTAAGCCAATTTGAAGGTGATTGCTCATCAGTGTGTGGGCTCATGAGTGTGTGTGTTAGAAGTGTGTGTGTGTGTGTGTCCCCCCCCACCCTCCGTGTTGGTGTGTGAGTGGCGTGTTAGTGGGAGGCTGAGATGACTCCGCTGACATCTGGCTGTAGCTGAGCCCTGAACAGGTACACTGACTCCACGGACACACGCCACTCAAATCAGAGGGCAGGAAGCTCTTCCCAATTACCCAGAGCGCACTGCTCCCTGCCTGTTAGCGGTGGCAGCGCTCCTTCCTGACCTTGATACGCTGCTTCCTGTCTTCAGACTGATGGCAGGGAGACATCATCATTGGGCTCTACTTTTATTTGCTTTTCTCTTTTCTCAGCTCGTTGGCCTGTCTGTAATCCACTTTGGCCCCCCATTGATTTATCTTAACATCTTAACTACTGCTAAAATGATTAGCTGCTAATTGATTTGTTAATCGACACAAAATCAATAAGCAACTATCTTTATTATTGATTTATCTGTTGAGGTTTTTTCTCTGTTTTTTCCAATGTGAGCAGTTAGTTATTTTTAGACGTCTTTAGGTTTCTGGTAGGATAAATCATTTCGTACTAAGATGATGGGTTAGGGTATTATGATATTGTAAGGTTGACTATTGGTGCTTTCACAAACTATTTACCCATTGAGATGTTTTACTAATCAGCAATGTACATAAACTGTAATGACGTGTTGACATAAGGAAAATGACAAAGCTATAACAGTCTGATTTGTTTTGTATCACGTTACTGTAATGCAGCCTTTCAAAGCAGGAAAAGAGCCCATATTCAGATATATACATCTGAGATGATATCATCTTGTAACCTCTATGTCAGTATAATGTCGGTAAATTGCACAGTGACACATTTTATAGTTAAAAAAATTATGAATTATTCCCTGAAATAATTAGCAAAAATCGTTGTTACCTCACCGTAGACTGGTGTCCAAAATATATCCCTATTAATTATAGTCTACTGTGTTTACGGTTTGACATTTGATTTGACTGTCTGCATTCTATATCCTATAAATTGCTCTGAGAAAGTTGCACAGCGTGGAAAACAGGGTTCATTTCCTGCTAACAGCCACGCAATAACGATGAGTCATGCGTCTGAAAACCTGCAGTTGACTTCTCATTATTGAGTAACAACAACTGGAAGACATCCTAAATATAAACCCATGGTGAAACATCACAGTCGTGTCCATTGTGCCAACTCCTGTCATTGAAATTCTTCTGGAATATAATAATCAGTAGCGTGTTATCTGAGTTCAGTGCCATCCTGAAGGAGAGTGAAGAACCTGAGAACCTGCAATTGGCTGCGTCTGCCACGGAAGCTCACAAAACTCAATTTGATGTGCGAGAGTTTCATTTGACCTTTTCTGGGCGCGAGTGAGCCGAGAATGATAAGTTCTCATAAAAGAGCAAACATCGATAGAAGCCTCCACCTTCTCCGTCTGTTTGTTGCCGTAGTTAGATGTAGCGGCGGTGTGTAGCATATTGATGAGATTAATACTCTTAAAACTCCCCTTGTTGTTGACGTCAAGATATATTTGCTTTGAGCCTTTCTGCAGCTTTTATGAAGCATAATGCTGACTCATTGTTTCATTCTGTGACTGAATGGGTTCAGCTGAATTATATGTATTCATATTCAAATGATTCAAAATGAACACGTTTTTTTTGTTTTGTTTTCTTATGTTGACAGCTGGCCTTAAAAGCCCTAAAGCCACACAGCATCATCTAATCTCCTTTCCTTTTCCAATATCCTTCCTTTCTTTCTCATGTCACTTGTTCTGACCTGGCTCTGTCTTTTCCTCCACAGATGGTATGAGGAGCCCATATTGCCTCGGCTGGGAGCCAGCTGTGTCAGGTAGGCTACACTGACCTCCGCTTCCTGTCCGTTTGTCAGAGCGCTGCTCACTCAGGGATGTAGCCTATTTCTGCTTTTTCAAATCCGGTCCAGTATTTCACATCCAGTAACTCCCTCGGCTGGAACGGGAAGAGAGGCTTTGAATAAAAGTTATTGTTTCCTCTGAACTTCACTGCTTCAATCTCAATGTGTAATGAAGCGTAGGCTTTGTCACACTTGCATGAATTTAACTCTCCTGGGTTCATCAAAGGGAATGACTAAACTGAAGAGAGGTGCTTCCTGTGTTGCATTTCAGCTCCTTTCCCCTTCCCTTCCTCATGCTATCCAGCAACACAATAATATATGCAGTTTATTACAGATTCTCTTGTATGATATAAGGGAAAAGGAGCTTGTTGTAGATAGGGTTTTTCTTTTTACTTGTCTATCTTAGAAAAGATATGGATGAATATATGAATGAATATGATATGGAAATGATAGGCTCCTACAGCTGAGCACTGTTGGGACGTTATGTCCGTTACCTGACTGAATGCTAGCTAGCATAAACGCCACAATCAGATTGATTGTACGATTAGAATGTGCTTTGTTGGACTTCCTGTTTCTATTCATTCCTGTAGCTCGCTTTGAAAGCTCTGCGATTGACAAGGAACAGCTGATGGTTGATGTTGTTAACAGGAGTTATCTCAACCCAGTCTCACGGCATTTCGTCTTACAGTCACGAAATACATTTCATCTATTGATTCGTGTTCACCAACACGATTTTCACATTTTTTTCGTGTCACACAGAACGATTTTAAAAGCAATGTATTTGTATTGGTAGTGTTTCGTGCCTGCACCACGTCTTTTGGAAGACCAGAAGCTGTGTGGTTCATAAAAACATTTTCTTACTCAATATCAAGCCACGATTATTGTTTTTATGTTAAATTGTATAATGTCAGACTTTTTTGGGGCTCAGAGCCTCAGAATACTGAAATCTGTATTTTTTTAAATCTTTTTTTGCTTCTAATTTGTTATTATTTAGTGCAGGCAAGAAACATACTACCAATAGAAATACATTGCTTTTACAATCGTTCTTTGTCAGAATACTGAAATCTGTATTTAAAAAAATCTTTTTTACCTTCTAATTTGTTATTATTTACATTGCTTTTAAAATCGCTCTGTGCGACACGAAAAAAAAGGGAAAATCGTGTTGGTGAACACGAATCAATAGATTACATTTCGTGCCTATAACACCAAATGGCGTGAGACTGGGTTGGTTATCTAAACGAGAGAGATCGCCTAAAGTTTCCTACTTGTTGGCTTTATTGTTACAATTAACTATCACAATATGAAGTGTGTCATTTTAGTTTAAAAAGTCCAAACATACAGTTGTCTGTTTTGCAACTCACTCTCGTTGTTTAGCTTGGCCAAACATGATCAGTATTGTTTTGTAAAATGCCCTTTTTGGCCAGAAAATCAAATAAATACAGTTTTTTCGAGATGTTTTCACAGCAACATAGAACAATATTAGAGAGGTAGCTTTAACCTGGTTACTTCCTTAACAAAAAACAAATGATACTTTCTTTACTGCAGAATAAATCTTGTGTCAAGAATTGTAAATGTTTCACCAGTATTAATATAAAGGACTAAACGTGTAGTATCTTTCATAGCATGCATCCCTGGCCACAGTGTGCTCCTCCAGTGTGTGAGGACGGTGTTCCGTGTACGGTTGCTCCTGGGTTTTGTAACAAAATAATGTGTCTGAAATAAGACATTAAGAAGTGCCTCTGGACTCGCCGGCAGAGACACAAACAGTAAGCATACATATGTCAGATGCTCCCTGCGAGCTAAAGTGCAAATCCCCTTCATATGCGAGCATCCTTAGCGCCACGGGCAGGGACTCGGCGAAAAGGTCAAATCTCACACTGAGTAAATGAAAGAAATTGCCGCCTTTTGCATCGCCTCACCGTGCTGTTTTTAGCCTTTGCTGAGCATTAGTGACTGCTGCTTACTCCCACACACCTAATCACCACTCAGCATGCCACATTAATACATGAATCACACTACAAATCTGCATATAATTAGCATGTGCTAGCCTTGAAGAGTGTGGTGATGTCATTCAGCTCTGCAGCCCGGACACATTGTGTTTCTGGCTGCATTCAAATCAGTAATCACAGACACATTCCAGTTTCGTCATTAAAGGGGGAGCTTCAAGAGGATGTTCAGGAGAGGTGATTGAAATAAAGGAGATTGTCAGTGAGAATGGAAACCCATCTGGTTCCAGTGGATCATATTCATCTCGTTGAAGTAGCGGAGGAGGAGAGCTACATTTTGTTTAAAGCTAATCAAGCACACTACAAATGGCTGCTCCACACAAGTGTAGCTAGAATGTCATATCTGAATGCATGGGTGGTTCACACACAACCTCATGGTGAAATATTTAGAGAACAGGAGTGGATGTATTGATGCGCCCTGGGGAAGAGCAGTCGGTATCTTAGAGGCAGCCTTCTTTGAACTGCTTCCCCACATCAGGACTCTGGGAGTTCAGAGTATATCAAAAGGGTAAAAAGCACCACTTTACCCACTATTTTCATTTAGAAAACTCACTCTTTTAAAATATTCTATCAACCCTGGAGATAAGTCGGAGGAATTGATTTCTTCTTCTCTTATTTGGCGAGTGAAATAAAATGACACTGTGATGAATTATAGTTATTACACTGCAGCAGGTTTAGAAGCAACTCGCTGACACAAATCCAAATATAAGAATGTGCTAACATAATTCATCTTCCTCTATGAGCCGTCTTCTTACATGAAAACATCATTTTTCTGTCTTTAATTGCTTGTCTTAACAAGGCACTCATGCATAAAGTGTGGATTTAAGAAGACAGACTTATCTTTGCATCAGAATGTGCTTATACCGGACTCCAGATATTTCCTTTGATTTCATCATAATGCTGACTATCTCACTAGAATACATTTCCGATGGATCCATTGCTCAGCCAGTCCAAGTGTTAGTCTACCAGCAGAGTCGCAGGCTAATTGAACAGAACGTGGCGATCCAGCTCCAGGCTTCACAGCTTCATCATCATTCATCAAAGACACCTCAGCGGGCACTTTATCATGTCTCAAGACCAATTTCTCAATCTTTTTCCCTATGAATACATTATGCCACCAAGTCGTATATCTTCCCTGGCTGTCCTTGTGGCGAGCGGACAACCTTTTTGGAGTAAACTGCGAACACAGGAGAACGCAGTGAGATATCTGTGAGTCATGTGACCCCACGGTGAGACATCAGGGAAGCACAACCCTCACGGACAATCCCCAGAGATAAAGGTCTCCGTCTTGGCGTGGGGGTTGTAACTCATTAGTTGATTCCGCCGATCAATCACCGTTGAATTATTGTGGGTCATTACGAAACATAAAGCTCGAATGTCGGCCTCGGGGGAAATCCATTGTGGCGCAGTGGGAGGTAAGGCACTTGATGAGTGTGAGAGAATGTGTGTGTGTGTGTGTGCACTCCAGACTGTATGAACTCTACTTAATGGCTTTCATTGTCAATGAAAACAGTAATTTATCCCCATGGATTGTGTATTCCCTATAAAACATTCCCCGTTTCAATCTCTACTACATCCACCACGGCAGCTTTTGTGGTTGCATTAAACGATCAGTGCTGGAGGATTTACAGACACACAAAGACAGACCGCACCATTTTGAAGCAATGACACAACGATTAAGCTTTTATCGCACGGATGACTCGCTGACTGACGGCCATTGTTTGGCATTATTCTATTTCAAAGGCTCCATTTGTGATTACGGCATGGGCACAACAGGAAGGCCTCTTCAAGAGTCTTCAGATCAATGTGGTAAGTCCTTTTATAAGCTTTTCAAACGTCACAGCGGGAAAGGGCAATCGTAGAAGATTGTACTTGTCAGATTAAATGAAACCGTGGTGGGGTTTCAATCGGCCAGCAGCACGAGGCTCCAGATTCCAACAATAAGATCTCAGCACTTTGAAAAAGCAGCAGCTGGACGACTGTGGAGGCACCTCGCAGGTTCTCTGGGTTGATTTATCATATGTGTTCAAACGAGTGCATGGTGGGATGAAAGGGAGATTGATTCAAGGCCAGGTTATTTGTCTTGGCTGGGGCATGAATCACAGCAGCCTCCCCACAGGACAGCTTTCTGCTGATGTACAAGATTTCAAATCATATCTGGGGTCAGCTGGGTTTGGAGATCACGCCGGGGTCAGATAGTAAATGCAAATCAGGCTCTCATTTAACTTGGAACAGGTTGCTGTGTCAGTGATAGCAGACAGTGTAACCTCAATAGCACAATGTCATTATAGTTTGATTATAGCCGCTTGTGTTCTTGAGTCTTTTTGGGCTTTTCTAGGATAGAATTTGTGGAGACAGTGTTTGAGCTTCAATCGTCTACAGTAGGTGAGTGATTGGTGATATTTAGTTGTACATGCAGAAGAAAACTCTCTCTGTAAATGTGCATAGTGTCTGTTTTCTGCAGGCTGCTCCGGTCATTCAATTCCACTCATTTCCCTCTGAGCAGGTTAAGCTAATCTAAAGCGGGTCCTTGGAAATATCAATAAGACGGATCAATGAGTCTGTGCTTAAACCAGCGGTGTGGAGGCGGTGTCTACTTCAATCCGAGGTTGTGCCGCTGCAACGTTTCCACCACAACGCCCGCGCTGCATGTGAAGTGTGCTGAACCTCGTGGTCACTCCCGTGTGCGAGGTTCAATCTGAAAGGAGCAGCAAATGGTGTTTACACTGGCCTTTTTGAAAGCAGCACAATGCGGCGCTGTGTAGAGCAGCGATTACTTTTCTGTCTGTTGGTAGAGCTCATCCACTTGAGCAGATAGCTGTGCCAGTCGGGGGAGCATCTCTTGACAAATGAAGGTTTCATTTCAAGTGAAGGTCGCGAGCTGCTTTTGTTTTGAAATCGCTGGAGTGGATCTCTGGGAGTTGTATTTCACTTTGCTGCTAATTTAAAGTTTGTGGCTGACACATCCTT